CCGATCAACCGGAGCTCGTTTGTTTCATTGCTGATGAAACAATGCGATGTAATTGATCAGAATCCTTCTCCACCTGCAAACAAGTAATGCCCAGATTTCAAAATTGGATTTTTTTTGTTTTGTTTATCGGACCGATTTGTGTTGCTGATGAAATCGTTTTTCTTTAGGGTTTTGTTCATCGAGACATTACCCAACATGGTTCAGACCAGGATTCTGTCGCTCCTTCTTTTCGAGTATCGGAGATTTTGCGTTAGGGATTTGGTTTGTCTAGCGAGGGAAATGTTGGGTGGAGGAAAAGAGGTTGATTTCTGGGTTCAGAGAGCTGCACAGAACCTGCTCGATAGAATTCCTGAACCAAAATTTGATTGGATATCTCGTTTAGGTTTGGATTCGGCTGATGACAACTGCATCGGGGAGGAATTTGACTCTGTCCCTGATTGGCTCAGTGAGAAGGCTCGTTCTACTGAAACAGTTCTTCCATGGCTTCCAGTATCATGCACTGATGTACATTCAGAAATCCTAGTTGTTGATTCTTCGAAAGCAAAGGATATGATGAGTCAAGTCAGAGAGAACATGGAAGAAGATCATCGAGAAGTTTTGGATAACATTGATCAGACCATAAATGTTGCGTTACAGCCTGATGATCATGAAATGGCGGCGAAGATTAGAGCTCAGATTACGAGCTTTGAGTCTCCCTCTGAAGTTTTAACCTTGTGTGATGAAATTCGGAAACTTTGTTTGGAGAAGGGTAGGGACTCTTTTAGATTTTTGGCTTTGATTGAGCCTTGGAATGCAGATGATGAGACTGGTGCTCTTTTTCTTTCAAATTTGCATAATGGAAGCGAGGAAGAAGAGCTTGGTTGGCCAAGCCAGATTCTATGCTCGATCATCCTTCCAAAGTTTTTGGCTCTTGAGAAATCCGCCTCTCGTGTGTTGATGTCTGCGACAATCGAATTTTGCAAGGTCCACCAAAGAGCAGCCGAGTATGCGTTGGTATTCCCTTTGATACTCAGGAATGAAGGGATCAACAACTTCATTTGTGAGGTGATCTCAAGGGTGTTGAAAGAATGCTGGCACTTGGGTCATGTTTCTGCTTTTTGCCAGAAGTTACTTTGCGGAAGAACAGAAGAGAGGAGGTTTCTTCTCCTTCCCTGCCACCGAGATCTTATATCTGATGATCTAACATGGAATGAATCTCTATTTATACTTTTCCAGAACATATTGATCCACGACGTCCCTTTATCCCAAGGTTCCGTTGATTGTCTTGTTTCTAAGGTTCAGGAGTTAGCGGAAAGGTATTCCAAATCTCTAAGATTTGGAAACTTCTTGCTACATTTTATTGCCAAATGTGCTCCGATGCTTCATGCTCATAAGTATCCGCTGCTCGAATCTGTTAAGTGCACTAACAGTCTAGTTACAAAATCTATACTATCAAAACTTAACGCTCTGTAGCTCCCATATTCTAGTCTGTTCTTTGGTATATACCTTTCTTCTATGGCGACATGAGCATTCCTTTGTGAGAGGATGTAGGACTGAAAAAGATATAGTTCTCAAGGGATTGTTTAGGGGTTATGAAGGTGTTATCAAGGCTTATCTCAGTCAAAATGAGCACTACAGTAACATTCGTCCTTTTGTTGGATTAACATGGTAGCAAGTATGATCACATGGATATCATTGAGACATGCTTTTTGAAGGAAACACAAGAATACAAGACCTAAGGAATGGAGAATTTGATGAGTTGTTCAGAGCAATCAAAGGCCAGATACTTCCTCTACCGATGGTTGACATGTTCTTCATGGTTTGAAATTTAGAACCTTGTCTTGTCTCTGAACTTGACAGTTGAAGAAAACGTCATATAACAGTGAAACTTGAAGCCACTGGATTACAAGAGCTTTGGTGCTGGAGATATAATGGCAAGATTGTAGAATATGGCTATTGACAGTCTACTTTATACTTCACTGCCATTAGTATCCCTAAAGCCCCTTCACGAATCATAATTTACAGAGGAACGATTCAAGAAACAAACTCAAGTTCAGTGTACTGTTCCTGGAACGAAAAAGGCGACAAAGGATATCATTGAACAAGCTCATGCTGTGTATAGATATTTGTAGAGACCAGAAGCATGACCAATAGACATGAGATCTAGACCGGCTACGAAGAGAGATTCGAGAAGACATGATTTGGGCATCACTCATATAAGTAGACACATCTTCAACATATTGTAGTAATACCAAGATAACCAATTCAAATGAACTTTCCTTTCATTGATTTTTCTGGGTCGTTGTTTTAGATGACAAGTAATTTAAAGGATGTTTTGTAGCCACACAATGTTGACAACACTTGGTTAAAGCTATCTATTAGACTATTACAGATTCGGTGAAAGAGATGGTGTTGAGCCATCATTGTTGATCAATAAATGCCTAAACTAAGTCTCTAAGCTGTGAAACTCAAGAATCGAGCCACTGTCTGAATTTGCATATCCCACGACGACCTTCTGCGAAAGAATCTCGGATTGACTGCAACATGGCACCAACTGCAGGAACACTGTACAGCTCTTGGTTCTGTTCCTGCATTAAGCATCAAATACATTATGTCCAGATGTTTCCGCGATAGAGATGCACAGGGAAGAAGGCAGTGAAAGGAGTTGAGCAATAACCAGCACCATCTTCGTGAGACGCTCTTCAAGACTTAGGGGGACTGTTTCAGTAGACATGAATATCTTACGATATGCTGCTCTCAGGCTCTTCATCTACCAATACCAAGAAAAAAGTCATGTTTATTTGGTAACACTCCAAAGTGATATACAATTTCTTACTTCAAAGGACTCAACATAGGGACACAGTACAAACCTCTGACATGGTAAATCCATTTCGTTTAAGTCCCTCCAGATTCAAACCGCGAAGTTCTGCTCTTTCTCCAGTCACCATCATGTACTTTGGAACATCTTGTGAAACCTAAATATAATCGCACCATTGAGTTTCTACTGGGAATTTTGGGAAATGAGAGCTAGGAGAGGAAAATATACCACAGAACCACCGCCAATGAAAGTGAAAGAGCCAATATGACAGAACTGGTGAATGACCGTGGCTCCTGCTGTGTGTGTATAGTCCTGCATTCACAGCATGATCCAAATGAAATCATGCCACTATATCCAGGTATAGCGGATGGAGACAAGGAAGATCTTACTTCTACAATCACATGGCCCGCAAGAAGCGTATTGTTGGCTAATATGTTGTGATCACCGATCTTGCAATCATGGGCGATATGACAAGAGCCCATGATTAGATTGTTGTCACCAATCACCTGTTCAAACAAATGACAGGCAGAGCTAAAAAGACGGGAAAGCATCTCAAACCTTCAATCATATTGGTAAATGACCAGTTGATACCGTTTTATCACTAGACTTTGATGACCTGTGAATTGAACAGAACTCCCTAATTTCATTGTTGTTGCCGATGCAAAGAAAACATTCATCCCCATGCTAAAAGAAGAAAACACAGCAGTATTAGTTCTCGACGGATACCGGTTTCTAGTCTTCTCTAATCAGGGAAAGCTTAGGACGATAACAATTGAAAGAGGCAATAAGATATCATCTCTCACACACCTTGTACTTCAAGTCTTGACATTTAACACCAACCACGGCGTGGTGACCGATAATGTTATTGCCTCCTATGAGTGTATAACCAGGAAGCTCATCACCAACAACAGCGCCACTGGCTGACGAAAATTCAAGACACGTATCAAAGATCAATCGATATTAAAATGACAGAGAACACATTATAGCAAGGAATACAATTTTAGAGATCAAAGGGTTTTACGTCATGAGAACACAAGATTCCCCCAACTCTGTGTTTCCAAAGATATGGCTAGAAGGATAGAGTTTGCAGCCATTGCCTAGCTTCACCGAAGAGCCGACTGTACAATATGGACCAACTGAAACTCCCTGCCAATAAAAAAGAGGACACAGAATTTGTTTGGTCATTTAAAGTGTCAAGAAAACTCTTTAACTTTCACAAATCTCAAACAAAGCATCACACTTTGGCCAGGTTCCAACAAATTCTGGTTTCCTAAAGCTATAAAGATGATTACTTTGTGAGTTTTTAGCTATTCCAGTCTTCAAGATGATCACAAAAGAAGCTTAATCCCAAACTAGTATTGCATCAAAAATCCAAATTCACTCAATTTTGAAGGTGGTTTTATATAGTTTGATGGCAAGAACAAACAATCTCGACTAAACGAATCAAACCTTCCCAATCACAGCGCTTGGGTGGACGACAGCACTCGGGTGTATAAAGACTTTAGAGTCTCTCTCATCTTCGTGAGAATCTGCCACAAACCACACAAATATTATTAGTTTCACAGTAGAGAGATACAAATTCTGCTAATCATGGCCACATCAAAGCACAAGCAGGAAAAGAGAAAGAGGAGTTTACAGGAGATACAACGGCGGATAGATGAACTAAAGAGAGGAGAGAAAAGCCTCTCGCGAGCTTTAAGGACAGCAATCATGGCGGGCTACATAGAGCAAAAACAAACCCACTTCAGTTTCAGACATGTGTTCGACGAAATGCCTCAAAGAAAAGAAAAGAAAAGAAATCTTACACGCGCCCAAGGATTGAGCACGTTCTATCAACGCGCCTGAATTTATATTACATTTTGGTGAAGATACTTATAATGAATTTGAAAGCATAAATTGAATAACAATAATTTTTTGTGTTCAATTTCATAGTCTATTTTGAGTTTAAACAATGGTAGCAATTAAATTTCCATCACCATGATACAAAATAATCAGAAACACTTTTGAGTTTAACAATCCAATCTGGTGTTGTTTCAGAAGACTAGTGCTATGATGATTCTTCCTTTGTTATTGTACTGACAAGTTGCGTAAGGATTCTCTCTAGTTCCTCTGCATTGCTCCATTCCTTCACTTCTGCTTTGATCAGTAAGGAATTGTCTGAAATCCGCTTCCATAGCGGATAATTAGTTCTCGGCATTACACAATCACACTCTTTCAGCTTCAATGTCGGGCAGAAGTCACCTCCTCCATCTCCTAGGTAGATAAACCTTCTTGGAATTTGATCGCTTGGAGAAGAACCACGTATATGATCCATTACTAGACCCTGATGTAACAAATCAAGATTCACTAATCAAAATCCTAAAAAAGATTGAATCCAATCACCAAAGGACCGGGTTCTTATCAACCAGATGCAACTCGCATACACATCGTTAGATTAGATCTCTAAGAAAGCTTAACAAAGTACAAGCCTTTCCACATTATATACCGGGACAACTTTACAATCGAAGGTTTCAGCTTATGGACTCAGACTAATACCAAATTCTAATGAACATCCAAGCTTGAGAACAACAAAATAGCAAATCTAACTAAGCAGACATGGAGGTACTTATAGTTTGCAAAGATATATAGTACCTTGCATAGATTTGAAGGGCAGAGATTGCAGCTATGCGGAAGCAATGCATCACCATGGTACGGGAAGATCTGCAGGTTCCCATTTCCATCAACAGAGGTTGGATTTGTGTAAATCTCAGAAAAGCAATCCAACAAACCATGTTGCTCTAGTATCTTGTCAATGAAAAACTGATTTGCATCACTCACAATCTTCAAATCACATCTGCAAATTGAACCAAATTTACAACACTCAAGACACAGGGATCTAATCTTAATCAATCATTTGTCCAAACATTCAAATACCCTAAAGATTTGGCTGATTTGATAGCATGAATAATGTGAGAATCAACTGGCATATTTTGCAAGCAAGCTTCAATGTCATGAATGGATCTCCCTTGTGAATGTAGCTCCATCATCATCCTATCCTTTTTTTGCAAAACCAAATCAACAAGGAAACAAAGACACTAAACATGTTAAGAATCAGAGAATATATAATACCATAAGGCGATTCCATGGTAAAGTGAATCGGAGTTGATGGAAGATCTCTGTGAGTCCCATCTCAGTGACGACCCAATTGTCACTGTCTCCGTCGATCAAAGTCCGATCGAAATCGAATATAATCACGATCTCGGCCATTTCTATACCGGAGCTTCCTTGCTTCTCGCCGTCGATGGTGAAGGAAAGCAACTCCGTCACTGCAATCGCTTCTTCTCCTCTTTTTCCTATTAGTCGACGGTAATTAATCTATGACGGAGTTTATATACAGCGGTTATAGCTATGGGTAAAAAAAATTATTAAACGGTTTAAATTCACTTATTTTTCTAGAAATTTGGAAAAATAAACTGATTTTAGACATTGTTTTGTTTTAACTGTGTAATTTGCTTGGTATGATCTTCTGGCTCTAGCGGGACTGTTTGTCCTCGTTGGCTTAGTCCACAGAGTCCTTTACCATCTTTGTATTAGACAAGGTTGTGTAACACAATGAATGAATCAAAAATTCTAGATGACAAAAAAAAAAACATTGTTTTTGTTTGATAAAATGATAGTTGGTATAAGATCCGAAGTGACTAGTCAAGTTATATTTTGATCAAATAAATTATAACGGTTTGATTGATTTGTCTTTTTAATACCATGATAATTGATATAAAACATGAAATGATTAATCAATACGGTTGGATCTTAGAAAACAAGCAAATGAATTAGATTGATTTGTTGTTACAAAGTCACAATTGATATAAGACATGAAGTGATTAATCAATTCAACAACTTGATCTTGGTCAAAAGATATAAGATATGAAGTGTATAATTGATGCGAAACGTGAAGTGACTAGTTACCGCAATAGTTAAATCTTTGGTCACACTTAGATCTTGGTCAAAAATATTAAACCGTTTAGATTTAGATTGATGCTATCTTTCCATAATAACTGATATAAGACATGAAATGACTAATCAACGCAATTTTTAAATCTTGGTCAAATATAATAAACGGCTTATATTGATTTTTTTTTTATATATAAAATGATAACTGATATAAGATATAAAATGACAATTAGATCTTGGTCAAAGTAATTAAATGGCTTAGACAGGTTAATCAATGCAACGATTTGCTTACACTATAAAATGGATAACATGTTTGGAACACAAGATGAATATCACCATCATCTTTAATTTCTTCTCATAAAAGATGAATTTCAATTCATAATAGTTCATCTCATACAATTCATCTCGACTGTTTAGATTTGTGTAATCTCTTGTAACTATCATATCTCATTCTTTCTGCACAAAGTATCTGCTTCTCATTGATACTTAGCGCAGGAAGAGCCAGATATGATAGTTATGCCGGCATATAAATCGTTGACTCAATGATAGTTCTGACAAAAAAGAAAAAAGAAAAAACCAGTCTCAAATCAGTGTCGTTCTCGCCACCTGAATCGTCACTTGTGTGTTATCAGATGCAATAATCCCGATGGGCATACTGCATACATTGGCTTCAAGATTTTGTTTTTTGTTATGTTTTACCCTTTTGAACCTAAAAACTTGAGAGAAGACACACACAAATGAAACAGTATTTACGTTACATGCTATTGGTCGAGCCAGTAGGGTCCACTTCCGTGTCAGCACTCGAATAGCCAATAAGATTGCAGGAAACACGTTAACAAGCGTAACATCGATTCCACTTCACAAGAAAAATCAAAAACCCATATCTTTCGGCGAACAAATCGTAAAACCCATCATCTTTATATATACAAAAATCTGTGCTAGAATTTGATTAAAGTCCCAAACTTTCACAGATTTGAGAGAGAAACAGAGCTTCTGACTTCTTCAATGGTTGGGATGAATCGATTTTTGATAGCTCTAACATTAGCTTTTCTAGCCTCGTCGGCGTTATTACCGGTCTCCGATGGCGCGAAGAAACCGTTGTCGGCGCCGAGAAAGGACGATGTTCCGTTCATAAAGTGTCAGGTTTGCGAGAAACTTGCCTCTCGGCTTCACCAGCTAGTGAAGGAGAAGCAAGAACAGATCTCGCCCAAGAAGGTAGATTGTGTTATGATGAATCAGTGATCTTCCTATTTGTGTTTATGTTTTGGTTACTGAAGTTTTTTGTGGTGGGAAACAAATGTATAGATCTCGGAGTATGAGATCATTGAGATTGCTGAAAATGTCTGCAACTTGAAGAAAGAAGAAGCTGATTGGATGCTCAAGATTGACATTGTGGAGAAAGGCAATAAGCTTGAGGTAATAGCTAGAGATGAAATATTTGGTAAATTAGGGGATTGAGTTTTAGTGGAAACTTGTATGTAGTCTTGACTCTGTTTGAAAATTTGATTGTTTCGATTCGGTTTTCGTAGCTAGTGGAACAAGAAGAAGAAGGAATGTGTAACTCGGAGTGCAAGACGATCGAGGCTGCTTGTCAAAAGGTGAGGACTTTCTTTGTCTTTGGATTTGCATTTTCTTGTGTAGCATTTTAAGAGCTAGGGAATGTGGTTTTTACATGTTTGTGTGTTTCTTCCAGGTCATTGGTTACTCAGACACTGATGTTGCAGAGTATATATACAAGTCTAAGCCTGATCTTGTCTCACTGGTTAATCATCTATGCAAAGACCTGACCGATGCTTGTAGCAAGAAGCCACCTCCTGTTCCCAAGGTACCTTCCTATACCCTTTCTTCGAAACCTCTATACTATATCTTAGAGCTTTCGTTTATCGAAATTGAAATGCGTATTTGGGTCCGTGAATGTTTTCACTCTCTTGCTGTGAAGATGACATTTTGATGATAAGATAGAAACTTTGTGTGATAAGTATATCTTTATCTTTGTCTAGGATCGGGTTCCTGGAGAACCGTTTGTTGCAAAACCATCGAAAGATGCTGAAATGGACAAGATCTTGAGATCTATGCAGGTGATCTTTGATGACATCAATAAGTTGTCCCCATACCATAAAGCTAAACACCATGGAATGATCTTAAGCTAACTCTGATTTATGGCTATCTTGTTCGTTCAGGGTATGCCAGGAGCACCTGGTATGAAGGTATACTCTAGAGATGATATAGAGAAGTACAAAGATAACTTGGGAAAGTTAGGTA